AATCTGTGCGGAGGCTCGTGGATCTTGCAATTTTGGTACTTTTACTAGTTAATAATCCTGATTAAAGCACTCGATTCCCAAAGGTTATGAAGGCTTGAGTGAGTTTTAATATAAGTTGTATCCTTAGGAGATCAATTGCCTAGCGCATGAGTTGCATTGCCAGTGCAATCGGCATCCTTACTCTTCCTTTGAAATCTATGGTTATGAAGGCTAAATTTGGTTTTGTTCTTCTCGTGTTATTTTCCTTTACCTCATCCCTTTTTTTCTTCTGGTCATCAGTATGTAGACCACTCTGTTACTCTGAAAGCTTGTGCGGGTCTAAATGGTTTAAAGTTGGCTGGCAAGGTGCTAACAGTTGTTCAGGCTATGCCTAATGCCTCTCCCTTGGTAATTTCACCACTCGCTCTTCTTGCCTAATTGCCAATTCTTGTTTTCTTCGTTTACATTGAACTTTTGCAATAGTTGTTTCCTAAACCTGGAGATGAGTGTCTGACCCCAACATTTATGCCAGGAAAATGATGGACAACGCGCAATCCTATCGGATTCCAAATCATGCAAAGCCACTACTCTGCAAGCCAAGTGAGGTTTTGAAGATCAAAGATGTGGTATACATATTTTTCTTCCTATTTTTGAGTTATTTGATTATTTGGTTCAGTTCCTTCCATTTTGTTTCCTTAACGTTTCTTAATCAATTAGTTTATACCTCTTGAATTTGGTCCCTCCCTAAACAAAAGGCAAGGGACCAAATTGATAGAACAAGAATTTTTTATTGACCCAAGTGACAGTTGCGTCTAGTGGTGGGGAGGTGATTCTTTCATTGTAACAGTTTACATTTGAAATTTCACTACACGGAAGTGTTTAGTTTCAATATGGGATAATTTGAACCTGTGTTTCATCTCATTTAAATCCTGGTATTTTACACTTAATGGGTGTAAATGATTGTTTGGGCCCTATCCTTTCTTTGTGAAATATGTGTTTTATTAGCAGTAGATTTAAACTGGTCATTTTGATGGTTATTTCTGCTTGTATATAAATAGTTCGCCACGGAAGCTCTCTCTTCTATGTCTAGTGTGGAAATTGAAGAAATTTTGGAGGATGTACGATTGGAATGTGCAAGGTTCGAAATAATTTTTCCTTTGAATTGATTCATCGTATTAAAATGTTAGGATAAACTACTCTTCTCTCCCCTCAATGGTGTTCAAATTATGCAGCCCAATCTGTTTTGAAAACATTCACAACCTTCCCGTGGAACCAAAAGATGGCCAAAAGAATCTTGAAAACAATATTGATTTTCTTTTTTTAAATAGAACATGAAATGCCAATAGAAGGTGGTGCAGTTGTTGGTATAGTTAGTAAGGTGTTGAGTCATAGTCCATAAGGTCACACAAGTGTTTTGTGAATGTTTTATTTTTAAACTACTTATTTGCTTGAACAAATGATTTTATGATTTGATGAATTTAAAATTGAATTATTTACATATTTAATATTTTCTATATTATGTAAGTAATAAATATAAGATATCGTGCTCAAAATAGGTGTAATCATTATACTTCGCTGAGTAACTCAAATATAGCCCATCTTTTGGTTTCCAAAGTGCGATGTGTAATTTTTCAGAGGGTTATGAAATTTGAACATCTATGAGGTGAAGGGAGAATGATTTATCCAAAAAATTATTATTGTATTGTTTTTATTATACTTCTGCTGTTTCAGATTTGGGACTGTGAGATCGATTGATGTCGTCAAGCATAGCAGTGACCAGAATCAAGCAGCTGAGTCAGAAAAACGTGAAGCTATCAATGATATGAGATCTAATGGTGCTTCTCAAGATTGTGAGTGTGATAACAAGAATCACGGATCTGAGATGGCTGCTTACCTGGGAGCCGATTCCACAACAATGGAGTGGAGTGTGATCATGGCAATAGGAGATCCGAGAAGATAATTCTGGTGGTGGCGCTGATGTTGATGAGCTCACTGATCAATTTTCTGAGAGTAAATCATGTCAGGTAGAAAACTTTGGGAGTGATGCATCAGTAGAAGGCGTGGAAAATAAGAGCATACCCAATGTTATGAGCCAAGAATGCTATGATCATCACAATATATACAAAGGAGAGTCAGAATTGCTTGATAACATGGCTGCTGATGATATCAGCATAAATGTTGAAAACAAGTCGGTGGCTAACAGCACCATTGTAGACTTGAGTGATCCTAATGCCAGTTTAGGCCCAGAATTAGACGGTGCCAAAGAGGTGAGAAGTAATGAAGACTTAAGTGATCCTAATGCCAGTTAGGAGGACCGGAATTAGACGGTGCCAAAGAGGTGAGAAGTAATGAAAACATAAGTGATCCTAATGCCTGTTTAGGAACAGATTTGGGTGTTGCAGATGAGGTGAAAAATAATAAAGATGAAGTTGCTGATCATATCTTTGAACCAGGCTGTGTTTTTGTGGAGTTTCGAAGAACTGAAGCATGTTGCAAGGCAGCATATTGTCTCCATGGACGTTTCTTTGATGGCAGAATGGTGACAGTGGAATATGTTGCTCTCAGTTTATACAAGGCTAGGTTTACAAAATGAGAATTTTGGCAATCAGAATGGTGAAAATTTCCATGCAGGTTCTGATATCATTACGTCAGTTTTTATCCGTTCAGTCTGGTTATTGCTTTTCAGCGGTATTGAAGTACCCTCGTGAGGGCATTAAATTGATGTATTAGGCCACTAGTGTGTTGTTTTAACAGTGGCACTGGAGTTGACAGAATGCTTCCTGTCCAATTTATAGGAACATAGTGGTTAACTACAGAATGAACAGCCAAGCTATCTGGAGATTTTAGGTCCTATTTGGAGAGATCAACCCTGTTTCAGGTTGTGCCGCGGGCTTTACATTGTTGTATGCCTAGATAGGTAGTATTTTGTCCATTTATATTGACCAGCAACCCTGCATTATCTAATATCATTCAAACTTAATAGCCCGAGCCCGAGACTACTCGTTATAGCTGGGGACGGTTTTCAAAATCCCTTTGTTTTTTCCCAATTAAAATAAAGGTTATGCATCCAAGACCAAGAGCGTGACATTTGTGTTATATTTTAATCACTATTATCGAATAGTAATTATTTTCTATATTATTTTTATGTAGGAGTACCAGAGATATTTTGCATTTACAATTTTTGTATTTCATCTTTTTCCTTGTCACAAATATTTAAAAAGTAGGGCGAAGCATGGAGAAACAAAAACCAAAATGCGATAGTAACAAATTCCAAACTTAAAACAAGTAATGCATGAATTGAAGTTATATAAATATTAAAATTAGCATAGAGGAAAACTTTCGGATGGATATTAATTTGTTTGTTAAGTGAATGGCAATTTGAGAATCCAGAAAATTATGAAGACTTGTATTTTAAGGTTGAATGATATTAGAAAAGTTGAAAGCGGAAAAAAATGAGAAAAATAAGTTTTGTCCGTTTTGAATTCACTCTGGGTTCTCATCATTTTGTTTTTGAATTAAACACTGGTCAAAGATTACATATGGCCTCTTTCATCACTTTCCTGTGAAGGTTGATGAAGGATAAAAAAATTACTATCAATCCTGTGAGAGTACGATTGCCCTACTTGTAAACATGGCAAGTCTGTGCTACCTAGTCCCTGTGAATTAGGTTCCTAGCATTATTAATAATACCTCTAAAGGGTGGTTATAGTTAGCAAGGATATGGCTTCTATACAATCAGCGACAATAAAAATTTTCCTAAATCCTCTATTCCAACACAAGGTAAGACTTGGATTATGCCAATCAATTCCACAGTTGTAGGCGGCATATTAGTAAGCTTACAGCAAAATCCATTGATCCACTTATTTGACGTTGCCTTTATCACTCCTACGTGTCCACTTCGTCCATCCTAAAGCACTAAACCATCTATTGCCAATCTAATGAACTCAACTGTTGTGGGAACTACTCGTCCTTCCTGGCAAGGATTGTGGTTTTAGAACTTACTGTTTCGTAGCATATCCTGGTCAAGACAAACCTTGAAGAAGCTATTATGTGCATCTTGGCAGTCATTGAGATTGTTAGTACCAAAAAATTTATTACGCGTGGTTACCCATAGATCCCAACACGTAGCCAAATAAAACTTGCCAGTGGACCTTCTTAATATGACTACATGAGACAAATTCTATCTGATCCATTCTACATCTTGTAAAGAAGAGAAAGATGACCAACTAGCAGGATGAATTACTACTGCTTTCCATCGTTCCTATGCACTTATGTAGTCCCTCAATAAGTGCATAGGATCCTCTTCTTGGTCACATGCAAACAGGAAGTTGTCTTTTGCTTGAAGTCCTCTACTCCTCCTGAGTTTCACAATATATGCTCTCCATGTGCAACCAGTCACATGAAAGATTTGATCCTTTCCAGTACTTGCCATCTCTGAAGCTGTTTCCACATGCTATCCTTGTGTGAGTGGTTACCCAGAAGAAGAAAGTTATAAGCAGACTTAATTGTAAAACTTTCCAGTAGATTTTGTCTTCTCTTCTATCCTCAGGGGTGGGTGTGCACAAGTCACTGGATCAATAATATTACAACCAAACCATCTACCCTTTACCTAAGATAAGATCTAGAAGTGGGGGTATCCAACTCTGACCAATGAGCAAACCAAAAAGAAGATTGTCCAGTCCCAATTTTAACTTCAATGCCTTCATAGAATCTCTTCCAAACATCACAAACCCTTCTCCAAATAAAGGATAAGTTTCATTTCTTCTTCATATTAGGCAATGCTCCTTGTCCACATCTATATTTAGCTCAAAGTACTTCTGCTTTAGGGATTCCTTGTCATGAATTAAGTTCCAATAGATCTTCATAAAAAGGTTACATTTTGTTTCCTTAAGTTTTTTTTATACCTAGGGCCCCTTTATTTCTGTCTGTGGTAACCTCTCCCTAAGACAATAGATGTAATTTTCTTTCTTTTTTGTTTTCTCCTTATAAGAAGTTCCTACTTTCTTGTTCTATTCTCTCAATAAGGCTCTTCAAAAGTAGCATGGTTTGCATATGGTAGGAAGGTAAAGCTGATAGAACAGCTTTCACCAAAATGGTACAACTTGCAAAACTAAGGCTGTTTCTTTTCCAACGCGATAGTTTTTCTCCTTGTCTTGTCCACTAACGATGCAAAAGCATGATAAAAGGCACTTTCATGGAGTAAAGGAACCCTTAGATACTTTCCCAAATCTGTAGTGAAACCTACCCCTATTCATTGGCTCAAACTCAAAGCTCTAGACCTATGTAAATTCCTTGAAAAGCAAACTTTGGTTTTACTCTTGTTCATTTTTTGTCCTAAAGCTTCACAGAATTTTTCAACACAATACAACATCCATCAACTTGGCTCTCAGAAGCTTCGCCAAAGACAATAAGATCATTAACAAAAAAAAGGTGAGACAAATTTAGACCTTCTAGATTCAACTTGATAGGTCGCCACAAACCCTCCTTAACAGCATCCTGAATATAATGGTTTAATCTCTCCATACATAAAGTAAATGTGTGAGGAGATATTGGATCATTGTGGCTTACACCCTTGGAGGAATAGAACTTTTCAGTGGATTTCCCATTTCAAAGAATTTTGAAAGAGGAACTTGAAATACACTGCATGATTAACTTAAACAACTTCCCATCAACTCTTACTGCTGCTTAAGAGTATCTCTAACGAAAGGCCATTCCAATCTATCATAAGCTTTTTTTCAAATTCATTTTGATTGCCATCTATCCTTTAGCCCCTTTTTTTGCAGCTTCATGGAATGAATTACTTCCCATGCAACTGTTAGTGGTAGTCTCACCCAAGAGGGGGGTGAATTGGGTGAGTTATAAAAATCTTGCGAATTAAAAAAAATAGTAAGCTGAACAGAAACAGAGCGTAAGTTGGAGTGATTTCACTGTAGAGAGTAGACACAAAATTTATATTGGTTTGGTCTCAACCACTTGACCTACCTCCAGTTCTCAGAATACATCTGAGTATTTCACTAAGTTCTGAGATTAATTGGGCTCTTGGTGCCGCAGTACACAGCAATTGATTCGCTCAATCACTCCCCCTTACTACCCATAAGGTTACAGACCCACTCAAGAGTCTACACTCTTGAGTTTCACTCAGAAAGTAATTAAACATGATATGTAGAGCTCTCTTACAGAGTAAATAGATGAGAAACACTAAAGCTCAGTACAAACAAGAATAGAGTATTGAATGCAATAGTAAGTTATTTGCAGAAGGTAGCTCACGTATTCAATCTCTGCATTCATGCTTGCTTCGTGCGTGCCTTTTATAGTTGAGGAAGCTTAATAACTGTTAGAAGAAAGAGCTACTAGCTGTTGAGAGTTCGGTTGTATGTTTTCTTAGTTGCAATGGTTTTCGCCATTAATGCTTCTGACATAGTAGGTTGTAGGCTACTAAATGACCGTTGGATAACCATTGAGTTCTTCTTCGTAATTGTAATAATACTTCAATCTAATAAGTTTTTCTTGCAGAGTAAAGTTTAGGAGCACAACTGATCAAATGATAAAAATGAACATTCATAGTTTGAAAGTGGAATCAATCAGTTGCTAAATGTATTGAACAAGAACTGGACATCCTTGATCGAAGTAATAATCGATGACTGGATGATCGATCAAATTATTGATTATTCAAGTAGAAAGAATTTGAAACAGACAAGTTTATTTATCAATCAAGTTATGGATTGATAATTTATCGATCAAGTAATCGATATA